CTCCCTCTCTCTCTGCCCCTCCCCCCCCCCCACAAATAAATAAACATTTAAAACATTTTTTTAAATATTACATTTTTTAAATTCTATGGTGAAGGGAAGAGACAGAACAGTTCCTCATGGCAATCTTTTTTTTGTGTCTTAAATGTCAACGATCACAAAAACTTGTGGCTTCTACTCACAGACCTGCGTTCCCAAATAGTTTTCTGCCTTGACCTTGGTGCTCTAAAAACTCTTCTCCCCGCCCTAGGAATCTGAAAAAGAAGTGGCCAATATCGAGTACTTTTACACCCCGGGGGAGGAAGAACTCATCAGTGCCGAATTTATCAAGTCCTTCATCCAAAAAGTGAAACACAACAGGTTCCAAGTCATCTCCTGGGGTCTCTATTTGTACCGCTTGTAGGAGCTTGAGGGTCTGTGGATGAATCATGCACCCAAATAGGACTATTGCTCAAATGCTTTATCAAAGCATCTCCCTACGCGTCTAATTGCGCGTCAGCTTGCGGCGATGCAGGTACTTGTACTTCCCGTTGACTGAAGGGTACTTGGCTTTGCTTGCCTTCTGTTCACGGAAGCTGTAGTGTCACGGTCACTCCTCTTCCCGTCTACGAGACATCTGACGCGTACCGAGTTGTGAGGTCCAGCTGAAGGCGTTTGCCGTCAGTGCCTTTATAGCTTTTCTCCACTGTGCGTTTTCTGGTGTTTAATGAGGTTTGATCTGTCGGTGAAGGCCTTCTGACATTCTGTACAAGCGTAGGGTTTCTTTCCTGTATGAATGATCTGATGCATGCTCAACGTTGCTTTCTGGATGAAGGCTTTCCCACATTTACTGCATTCATAGTGCCTTTCTCCAGTGTGAGATTTCTGATGGATGGTGAGGCGGGACTTCCAGGTGAAGGTTTTCCCACAGTCACCGCACTTATAGGGTTTCTCTCGGGTATGGATTTTCTGGTGTGTTATCAGATTTGACCTGTCAGTGAAGGCCTTCCCACATTCAGCGCATATGTTGGGCTTCTCCCCTGTGTGAATTTTCTGATGCACACGGAGTTGTGACTTCTTAGTAAAGCACTTCCCACAGTCACTGCATTCATAAGGCTTCTCTCCAGTATGAATTCTGTGATGTGCAATGAAGTGTGATTTCTGGATGAAGGCCTTCCCACACTCAGGACAAACGTAGGGTTTCTCTCCTGTGTGGATTCTCTGATGCACACTTAGTGTTGATTTCTGGATAAAGGCTTTCCCACATTCATTGCATTCATAGTGTCTCTCTCCGATATGAGACTTCTGATGTATTTTGAGGCGTGACTTCCATATAAAGGCTTTTCCACAGCCATTGCATTTATAGGGTTTCTCTCCAGTGTGAGTTTTCTGGTGTTTAATGAGATTTGACTGGTCACTGAAAGCCTTTCCGCATTCAGCACACATGTAGGGTTTCTCTCCAGTATGAGTCTTCTGATGTGTAGTGAGGTTTGTCCTATGAGTAAAGACCTTTCCGCATTCTGTACATATATAGGGTTTTTCTCCTGTGTGAATTCTTTGATGCACATGGAGTTGTGACTTCTTAGTGAATGATTTTCCACACTCACTGCATTCGTAAGGTTTTTCACCGGTATGGATTCTCTGATGTGTATTGAAATGTGATTTCTGGATGAAAGCCTTCCCACATTCAGTGCATACATAAGGTTTCTCTCCTGTGTGGATTCTCTGATGCATTCTGAGCGCGGACTTTCTTGTAAAGGCTTTCCCACATTCACTGCATGCATAGTGTTTCTCTCCAGTATGAGTCTTCTGATGTATATGAAGGTCTGAATTCTGGGAGAAGCCTCTTCCACATTCACTACATTCATAGGGTTTTTCTCCTGTATGAATTCTCATATGTCTAAAGAGATACGATCTGTGGAAAAAGGCTTTTCCACACTCACTGCACTTATACGGTTTCTGCCCAGTATGAATTTTCTGATGTGTAATGAGGTTTGACTTGAGAGTAAAGGCCTTCCCACACTGAGTACATATATAGGGTTTATCCCCTGTATAAACACTTTGAGGTCCATTAATCTGTGGCTTCTGAGTGAGGGTGTTCTCACTTTTATTGCATTCATGGGATTTTCCCTCAGCATGCATTCTCTGATGCTCAAAGAGATGTGACTTCTGGGGGAAGCTCTTTACACACTCAGTACAAACATAAAGTTGCTCCCCGGTCTGAATTTGCTGCTGGGGGATGAGAACTTGTTTGTTGCCAAGATGCTTTTCACATTGATTAATTTTGCAGGCATTTGCCCCTGTGGCAGCATTCTCGGGGGAGGAAGAGCTGTGGGCAAAATTGTTATCATTTCCAAAAATCTTATCAAGGTTCTTTGTTGAATTGCTCTTATTATGGTTATGTAGGTTTAAAGTGTGCTTCAAACTCTTTCCAAATGTGTCATAGTTATGGAGTCTTTTAATTGAAGGAACAAGCTTGGAACTCACGTGAATTATTTTTTCAATATTTTTACATTCACAGCTCAGCACTTTCACAGGACTTAAAGGGTTATTTTGGCTTCCTGGATACCTCTCTAGCTCGCTATTATTTTGCCACAATTCTTCTAAAATGGAACACAATGGAGCTTTTCTTATAGATTGACCAAATTTCTCACAGGGGAGTGGAACTTTTCCAGAAATTCTCTGTTGTTGTACTTTCCCAATATCCTCACCTAAAACGAAAAAGAAGAAAGTAAAAATGACTCAAAGGGCAATCAGCCCAGGGTACATGTAGTTCAGACGAGATGGGGCGCGTTTGGGGTGGTCTGGCCGTGGACGGGGTATGAGGTGGACACAGAAATGGTAGGGTCCATATGACAATAATGAAAATAGTAATAATGTAGTAATACAAAATTCTTCTAAAGCACTTACTATATACAAAATAATTTTATAGCATTTATGATGCACCAGGCACTGTTCCAAGTGCTTTATGCATAAATAGCTCATTCAGTCCTCACTAACCCCTAAGAGGCAGCTGTCATGACCAGTCAGATGAGAAAACAGAAGTACAGAGAAGTTGTGTAACTTGCTGAAGACCAAATCGCTAATTAAGTGAGGGAGATGGGCTGTGACCCTGGGAATTCATATCCATCATGTAGGAGGTCTTGATAATGAGACTAACCAGAAGAAGAAACCTAAGTCTGTTAAGGGGAATCCTAGCATGGAAGAAATATTTCAGATTATATGTCTTTATTACTTATCAGCTCTAAACCTTTCTCTCTCTTTTTTTTTTTTTTAATTTATTTAGTTTGAGAGAGAGCCGGAGTGTACACGTGAGCGGAGTGGGGGGCGGCACAGAGCGGGAGGGAGAGAATCCCAAGTAGGTTCTGCGAGCCTGACGCTGGGGCTCGATCTCATGAACCGTGAGATCGTGACCTGAGCCGAAATCAAGAGTCGAACGCTTAACTGACTGAGCCACCCAGGCGCCCTTGCTCTGAACCTTTATAACCTCTCTGCTTTGTCTTGCTTTTCCTCTGAACCATAGGAGCACCAACATTACATTTCTGTGCCTCAGAGACCCATTCCTCTGCAGCTATACCCAACAGTGTTGCAACATCAACCATCCAAATAGTAAATAGGTATCTGTGCTCCAACTCTATAGCCAGCTGCAGGTTTTCCTTGGTCCCAGGGATATATGCTTTCAACAAGAGCCAGATAGGAGAGGAAAAGCCACCTGAGGCAGAAAGTACAAGCCGTCCGCCCACAACTAATTGCACTTGCATTTACCAGCCTCGCTTTGTCCTCACCAGCGAAAAGTATGAGCAGAAGAGGTATGTGCAGCTTCCAAGCCGGGCCTGAAGTCAGTGGGAAAAACTCCTCTTTTCTCCTTTCTCCTTCCCACTGGACTCAGCAGTGACCCAACATTAACCACGCAGCTGACAGTGGTGCCCTGGGGGATGGCAGGGCAATGACTTGGAACATGGCCCCTGAATGACCCGTCAGGGGTAGAGTTGACCTGTTGACTGCATCCATTCACCTCCGAATTCTTACATAAGAGAATTTATACTGAGTTTGTTGTTTGGTTTCTCTGCATATTCAAAATATATTGTCCTTGCTATTAGCTCTAATTTCAGTACACTTCTAGGGAGGTTCTATCTGCTGTGAGTGTAGAAAGCCGACAGGGTGCCACTCATATTGATACCTAATTTGGCCCAGTTTTCTGCTCCAACAGAAAGGCTGAACATGTTAACATTTCTTCCCTTTCCAAGTATGATGTATGGTCCTTTGAATTTCCCTGAGCAGACACTTGCAAAATCCTGCCAAAAGAGAGCAAGATATCCTCTGCTGCCTATCTCCCCAAATTCAATAACTGGAAGTTTGCCCAACGTTTTCCAGGCTCTGCCTCAGTGAACTGAAGAATAAACGTGCCAGGTACCAACCTACTGCCTCTCAGCTCTAAATCCACTCCCCTTTGCTTGCTCTACAAAAATGGATGTGAGTCTCTTTAGATATGTTTCCTTTGGCAACTGGCATGATGTTGGGCCTTTTTAGCACCGGGTGATGGAGAAACACTGCAGGAGGAAGGGGTTTTGCTTCCTGGTCACTGTGGGCCCACTCAGCAGCCCCTCTGCCGTCCCAGCAAGGGCAGCTCGTCCGCCACCAGGCTTCCTGCAGCCACCTGTGGCTTCGCCACCACCACGCTGCTGATGCACTTCTAGCTCCCCGGGCGCCCAGGTCTTGCAGTGTGGGTGGCTTCTCTAGACCTCAGCTCCTGCGGTGGGGACGACTTTTCGAGCACCTACCTCCTGTGGCTCATACGGCTTCCCACGCACCCAGCTCCCGTAAACTCTGGGAGCTTCTCTAGCTCCAGGCTTGTGCAGTGCGACATGGCCAGCAGCACTCAGCAGTTTACCCTAGCACCCCTCTCAGATGATTCGTAGGGGGCTGCCTCCGCTGAGAAGCTTCCGCGTGATCAGCTTTCTCTGGAACCCCAGAGAGCAGATTTCCAGCGAGTTCCACCAGTACGGCACCGCAGTAACTCTTCTTCCGTGCTGTGAGCTGATGGCTGTGCCTCCCATCAAGCTCTGGATTCATCCCCGGGAAGCAAGGGAGGCCCTTCCTTGGGTGTTCAATCACAGCCCTAGAGGTACCAGCCGTTCTTTTTATCTGCTATTCCTTTATTCTTTAGATTTCTCTTTACTTTTACTAGCTAATCTCTCGTCACTTCAATCTCACCGTAGCCAACCATTCTTTATGTTATACTTTCACTGTTCAAATTAGTAGGTAGTTTCTGTCTCCTGCTCAGCCCCTGAGTTATACAAGAAGAAACAGGCTCTTACTTCTGGGAACTTTCTAAAAACAGAGAGGTAAAAGCCTCAGTTACCACATAGTCTAAAGTCTGTGCTTTCTTTCTGAGCTCCTGTGGAAAGAAAGGTGAGAAAGAGGAAAGAGCCACATATGCTAGAGTCACTGAGCCATTTCATGGAACACCGAAATCTGATCACCAGGTGAAAATGTATCACTGAATAGACAGAGCACAGAATAAAGAGTCTGATTCATAGAACACTAACACATATGGTAGACATAAGTAAAAATTCTTAAATGCACATCAAAAAAAAAAAACAATCAGCAAAATGAAAAAGCAATCTGTGTAATGTGAAAACATTTTTGCAAGTCATGTATCTGATAAGGAGTTAATATAAAGAACTCATACAACTCAATAGCAAAAAAGAAATAAACCGATTAAAAATGGGTAGAAGAACTGAACAGACAGTTTTCCAAAGAAGACATCAAAATGGGGCTCCTGGGTGACTCAGTCGGTTAAGCGTCAGACTCTCCATTTGGCTCAGGTCATGATCTCACGGTTTGTGAGACTGAGCCCCACATCAGGCTCCATGCTGTCAGCAAGGAGCCTGCTTGGGATTCCCTCTCTCCCCCCCCCCGCCCCTCCCCCACTCTCACTCTCTCTGGCGCGCTCTCTCTCTCAAAATAAATAAATAAACATTTTAAAACAAAAACACAAAGAAGACATCCAAATGGACAACAGGTACATGAAAAGGTGCTCAACATCACTAATCACCAGGGAAATGCAAGTCAAAACCACAATGAGATACCACCTCACACCTGCTACAGTGGCTACATCAAGATGACAGATAAGAGGTGTTGCTGAGAGTGTGAAGAAAAGGGAGTCCTTGTGCATTGTTGGTAGCGATGCAAATTGGTACAGCCGCTATGGAAAATAGTATAGAGGTTCCTTGAAAAATTAAAAGCGGAACTACCACATGATTTAGCGATCCCCCTTCTGGGTATATATCCATAAGAACAGAAATGAGGAGCTCGTAGAGATATCTGCACTCTTGTATTCATTGCAGCATTATTCACAATAACAAGATATGGACACAATCTGTCAGTCAACGTTGAATGGATAAAGAAGATAGATAGATATATATATATATACACCCAAGGGAATATAATTCAGCCATGAGAAAAATATTGTGCCACTTGTTATAACCCGGCTGAATCTTAAGGGTATTATGCTAAATGAAATAAGTCAGACAAAGACAAATACTGTATGGTATTATCACTTGTATGTGGAATCTAAAAAAAAGTCAAACTTGGAGTAGAGTGGTGGTTACCCGGGGTTGGGGGTGAAGGAAATGGAAGTATTGGTCAAAGGGTACAAACTGCCGGTTCTAGGTTCTATGATGAACGAGTTCTGAGGATCTAAGATACGGCATGGTAAGTCGGGCTCACGATACTGTATCATACACTTGAAAGGTGTTAAGAGAGTAAGTCTTAAATGTTCTCACCACAAAAAAGAATTGGTAACTATGTGACAGGATGGAGATATTAGCGAAGGCTGTGGTGTTAATTATTTTGCAATACCTAAATTTTGTATACCTTAAGCTTATATAATGTTATGTGTCAATTATATCTCAATAAAGCTGGGGGGAAATAGCATAAAATGTGGTATGCTTAGGGGGTGCCTGGGTGGCTCAGTTGGTTAAGTGTCTGACTTTGGCTCAGGTCATGATCTCAATGGTTCGTGAGTTTGAGCCCCGTGTTGGGCTCTGTGCTGACACCTCAGAGCCTGGAGCCTGCTTCAGATTCTGTCTCCCTCCCTCTCTACGCCTCCCCCCGCTTGCACTCTGTCTGTCTGTCTCTCTCTCAAAAATAAATAAAC